TTTTACTCACGAGACTCCCATCCCACCACTGCTCTCGATATATATCTCCTGGCGCACCCCCACTCCATTTCTATCTTACCTCCTTTTTTTTAATTTTTTTTAATTTTTTTTATTTTTTTTTTTACTCACAAGCTCCCCCATTCAGCCGCAGTCGAGGCACTAGCGTACAAGCCTTATTATACGGGAACCTCGGAAGCTAGGCAGGGCAGTCCTTAGGTAGTGCCTGATGTAAGTCAAGGAGAAACTGGATTCTCTGATTGGGGTCGTTGGGGCCGTATACACTAACTATGCACACGGTCTCGTCCCCTAGTTCCGCTTTTAAGTACACCCATCTTCCTTGACGTCGGTCGTAGTCATAGAGTAGCTGTTTCAGTCTGGAGGATGAAGGTAGCCAGGAAGAACCTTAGTAATTCCTAGGAAGCCAAGACCAAGGAATAAATGGCAATTTGCGTCCCAAACGGACCTAAGAACGGTCCTAATTAGTCATGTGTGTCTGACAACCACAAACAGATGGCAAATCGACCTTCCTGGTCGATTGAGGCTACGAGCCCAGGTTTTCTGGAACCATATGAAGTTCTTCCACTGCCAGTCAACACAGATAATTCTTATGATTGATTGTTTGATCTGGCGCTGTTGTTGTATGCAGGCTGTGTCCTCGCCTCTGAACACCATGGCATTCCAAGCCGCCCAAATAGTGTCCATCACTACCCCTCTACAGCAAAGGCCAACATATCCCCACCCCGAGGCATAGCTCAAACCAGTAGAGAGGATTCCCACAAGCATCCAGTTATCTGACCAATCCATCTCTTTGCCCAGAATCTTATCCCATTGCTGCTTCCACCATACCAGCAACTGATCCACCAAGGGACAGTAAAGCCAGAGGTGGATCATGTTCTCCCATCCCCAATTACACCGCAGGCATTGCGTTGAGACATCCATACCCCTGGCTGATGGCCACATTGCAGTGGCCGTGACCATCAGTGATTGAAGCCACATTATGCCTGCGTGCTTCTGAACAGGGAGACTAATGAGAGCCTTCCAAAGCTTGTATAGCCCTTGTTGAGATACCCCCAGGAGACCCCCACCACCTGCTGAATTTCCGCTCGAACTGATGCTAAAGGATACCACATTTTTCTTCAATCGACCCTGCATAAGCTGGACGCCTACTTTCCGACGATAGTGGAAAAGTGGGGTGATGTCCTCTCTGCTTTCCTGGACCTTTTAGCCGTTGCAGGGGTTTGACCCTGAATCGGTCGGCGTCCCGGAGTAGTGTAGCAGTAAGGTTTCCCTTTTTGGTTCTCTGGCTGAGTACTCTTGTTTCAATCATCTCACTGGTATCACTGGTCCTGCAGTCCGTGTCTTCAAGGGTGAGTTTTCCCGTGGCAGCTGTAACCGAGAGTCTCCACCGCTGAACCCGGATTCCTGAAGAGAGATCCGGGCCCAATATCTGGACCACTCGGCCAGCGGGATTGCACTCCCAAAGCCAACTACCTGCCGCGTGCTCCACTTCTGGTTGAAGAAGATTAACCCATCCACTAGGGATGCCCGCAATAAGCTCAAGGCAGTGTTCGTTCAGGTTGTGCAGGCGCGGAAGAATACGCCTGATCTGATCTGGTTCCAAAGGTCTGTCGCGAACCAGGTCCCAGATGTCCTTTAGCTGCAGTGTGCCTTTCTTTATCCAGCTCAAGCCAAACTTTCCTTTTTTTTTTTTTTTTTTTTTTTTTTACAARAAACAACCCGAGTGAATGCTAGGGGCGCTGATAAGAGCAGATGCCTCTAGCATGCTCGGGGAGGCTCCATCTATTGGTGGGGAGCAACACCTGCTGGAAAACGGGTCCAGCGTCCCTATGAACAATCAAAAATCATATGAGCATGCCACGTGTCCATCCTACTTGAGGGCGAGAAAAGCACATGCACCGACACGCTAGCACGCAACGTTAGCCTAATGGGCAGCATTGATTATCCTCAACCGAGAAAAGAGCTGCCCTTCACTCTGTAAAATCATATCCCTACTCAGAAACCCCATCGTGTACTCTAATCTTGCAGCACCATATTCGGAAGCTATCGGTGAAAACGTATAAAGTCATGTAAACGCGCCACATGTCAATCCTACAAAAGATATGCACAATCAGCCGGACCAACACACGGCACTCCATATCCTAACGAGCAGCATTGATTGCCCTCCTCTGAGGGGATTAACCGCTCAACTCTATGAAAATCAGATATCCACTCCGAAACCCTTGTCACCAGCTATCATTGTTTGCAACGCCACAACGGGGAGAGGTATTCGGAGTGGGAAATCACAATTTGTACTGTCAAATCACCTGCTCCAGTGTCCCCCCCCCCAATCCTCAGGATCTTCAAACCCACTCAACCAGGGAGGCACCGGAGCGCCACGTGGTCAAACGCAATGGATACAAAAAGGCAGTCGTGATACCCATCCGTACTGCAAGTTTCTGCACCTCTCAGCGCCGCCACCTGGCGAAACGTAGTTGATTACAGAATCACCATATCTCTCACCACATCACAAGGAAAACAGATACTCAAATCCAGGAGCAAGGTCGTATCAGATTACCTACAACAGCCTCCCCCACGATCCTCACAGTTCATGCGCTCTCATTAGACGGGGAGCATCGGTGCAATTTAAGTGCTGTCTAACCTACCCCTTCCCGCCGCCATCCCTCCCCCCACATCCCCGTGCCCTCTTCCTGTGCACGACACATCCCTATCGCCCTATCCTCTTGCCCCTGACCCCGATCATTCCCCACGGCACACAGGAGAGAAAACGGGATAGGTAGAGAAGAAAGGGGGGAGAGAAACAGGCGAATCACACTTACTTCCTTACACACATAATCACCATGTTTGTTGTTGTTGCAGGTTGTATTATTGCATGCTTTGTGATTGTTGTTGTTATTTACGTCGACAGGACCATCATCATTCAAAGCTGCGTCGCCAGCAGTAAAGCAACAATCGCAAAGGTCGTCCACGGTATCGTCCTTGTCGTCATCGTGAGTGTTTATGTCGACAAAACCATCATCATTCGACGCTGCGTCACCAGCAGTGAAGCTACAATCGCAAAGGCCGTCGTTCTCGCCGCACGGGCCCCGCCCCTCCTCGAGGCCCTTGCAACCACGCCACCTCAGCGCATTCGACCGTAGCCGATCCGCGAATCCCACACAAGGGGGCGGCCCCTCATCCAACCCCCATGCATCATCAGCCTGCTCAAGCAGCTCCCGTTGCTGAACACAACCTATAATATTCCATGGCATCGCTGCCATAGATAGTGATGTTATCGTCGTAGATGTCGTAGTTGGCAATACCACTGTATTAACCCCTGTTGATGTGATTGTAGTCGATATCAATGCTGTTATTGCCGTTGTTGATGAAATTGGTGTTGTTGATGATGTTGTCGATGATGTTGCTGCTGCTGTCCATATCTCGGTATCTGGCAGACCACTCGCGTGTCTCCTCGCCAGAAGGCCAGCGAACATATCTTTGACCTGCTGCAGCATCTCCACGCAGTCGTCGAAGACGGCAATCGCCCGCGCTCTGTCGATCGCATCCCGCTGTCGAAAAGAGATCTGTTCATAAAGTTCCTCTTCCTACCCATCGCAGGTCTCCTCTCCCTCCAGCAGAACATCATATGGCAGATCACCATGCGCTTGACACAGCACCACATACATCTCCTCCAGCTGCTGTTTGTAAAGTAACACAGTAGACAGCGCGGGCACCTCCTCCTCACCCTGCAGGTCAAGAGCGGCTCCCCACAGTTCCCCATGAGGCGAAGTCTCCTTACCCTCCCCAATCATTGCCGAAATCGCAGAAGCTGCCGCTACTAAACGTCAACATGTCAACATGTCAACAATTCCACGGCTGGCGTCACCCCTGTCAGCGCATCACGGGACTCCTGCATCACCAACGGCAGGCGCCACGTGGCAAAACACCACGCACGTCTGCTGGGCGCGCGTACAGGCCCAGCGCCCGAGGAACCTCCCCTGGGCACTAGTCGAGCCGGCAGCCCGGGCCTTGCCGGACTGGCGACGACGGGGCGCTAGCGCTAGCGCAGCCTCTGAAAAGAGACATGAGGCGCTCGTTTTCCTAAGCCAAACTTTCCTGATGCATCGGTGGTAGTGAAGCATCCCCCATCTGCTTGTCGAATGGCCAAATTGTCGACTAGAACTTGGTTTAGTACTTCTTGCTTCTAAGTTGGAGGCGGCCCATCGAGAGGGTGAACTTTGTTCCAGGCCCCAAGAATGCTTCTCCAAGTCCTGGAGTTTGGGTCTGCAACTGCTGAAGGAAGGCAACAGCATACAGACACAAACTTCAGAGGGGTCCTGGAGTTCCCATTCGGTTCCTAAGATGTATTCAGCCAGTATCATCCAAATCTTTGTTTCTGACGCCATCATGGCTTGGACCGGCCACTTTGCCAATAAGGATGTGTTCTGCTGTAGGGGGTCCAAGATTCCAAGGCCTCCTTTCATCCTTGGAGTCGCAACCACTTCCCAGGCTACCTTTGAGAGGAACCCCTGATCCTCTTCCACATTTGGCTTCCAAAGGGATCTGGCTGATGCCCGCTTTATCTTCTTGTAGGCTGCATTAAATTTTCCCATGGTATGCTATGATTAACCCTAATTTTGATTAAGCGACAGGGCGCCGCCGAAGCAGCGCTTGGCACACGTGATTAGCGCTGCCTTACCCCCTCCGCCTCCATCTCTGATTTCAGCCTCCTCCAAGATTTCAGATGCATCCGGGCAGAGTTATGTCCAGGTGCATCCAAAATCTTGGCGGATGGCAAATGGTGCAGGGTTCTTGCGCTCTCATCATTGAACTGGTAGTGTTTTTTTAGCCTTTTTGAACTCAGACGACGTGAATTTCGCCACACCGTGTTTTTCTTGCCTCTCTGAACTAACCCGGTTCCCAGCACGTGCTGCTCCCCACGAATAGATTGGAGCTTTGTTCCCAAAAAAAAAAAAAAAAAAAAAAAAA